AGAAACAGAAAAAAAAATACAGACAGAAAGACAAAGACACGGAGACAGAAACAAAGACAGAGACAAAAGACAGTCAGCGAGACAGAGACAAAAAAACAGAGAAAGTACATAGACACAAAGGTAGAATAAAAGAGAAAGAAACGCAAAAAGAAAAAAGAAAATACACAAAGACAAAGCGACAGACAAACAAAAAGACAAATATAAATAGAGAAAGAAAAAAGACAGAAGTTAAATAAAAACAAAACACAAAGACAAGCAGCAGAGCATTCGATGAAGAAACAGAAAACTCCAGCAGCAGCAGCAAAACAACTAACACAAAACTATAGCTGCTGCTACTGCTGCTGCTGCTACTACTGCTGCTAGTGCTGCTGCTGCCAGTGCTGCTGCTGCTGCTGCTGCTACTGCTGCTACTGCTGCTGCTGCTGCTGCTGTCAGTTAGCTGCCTATCTTCCTCCTCTTTTCAATCGCACGAAAAAGCAAGAAGAGTTGCTGTTGCATCCATCACCATCATCAGCAGCAGCAGCAGCAGCAGCAGCTGCTGCTGCTGCTGCTGATGCTAGCAGCAAGAGCAGGCTAGGAGAAAGCAAGAGAGAAGAAGTGTGTGTTGCTGCTGCAGGTGTTGCTGCTGTTGATGATCTGAGGTTTCTAAGAACGGGGCTGTACGGGGTGCAGGCTGCATGCAGCGGCTGTGTGTCGTCAGCAGTGCAGCAGGTGGCGGTGGAGTGTGGGGCTTTTGCTGCGCTGCTGCTGCAGCAGCAACCCAATAAAAACAACAATATAGCGGGAAAATATATTGTGCCAGCCCCAATACTGCATGCAGTCGATGCTTATAATAATGTTATACAACAATTCAGGGGGGATGTCACTGTACAGCTCATTGGGGGCCCAACAAATACACAAACAAATATATGTAAGAATAAACTAAAATAAAAATAATAATAAAAAAATAATAATAAATAATTAATAATATTAAAATAATTTATTAAAATAAAAAAAAACAACAACAAATAATAATAACATAAACAGCTTGGAGCTGCATATACACCGCAATCATATTTTAGCTGCCTATACACCCCAATTATGTTAGAGCTGCCTGTACACCCCAATAAGCAGAATAAAAAAAAACGAAATAAATAAAACTGTTGGTAGAATACAAACCCAAATAAACAAAACAAAACAAAACAAAACAAACCAAACGAAACAAAATATAAAACAAAAAAAATAAAATAAAATAAAACAAGCTGTTGTTTTTGTTTCTGTTTTTTTTTTTTGTGTTGCAAGGGCAAGGAGAAAGCCCCCGGGTTATGGGTGTTCTGCAGCAGCGGTTTAAGGAGGGGACTGTCTCCTTTTCTGGTTTATCGATAGCAGCAGCAGGAGACAGCTACCGTTTGCTGTTTTCTCTGCTGTCTCCTGCTGCTGGTCGTTCTATTGAGGTACTAACTGAGCCCTTCTCGGTGCATGCAGCAGCTCCTGCTGCGCTGCAGTTTCTGCTGCAGCCCCCCCCAGATGTAGCAGCAGGCAAGAAGTTTCAGGTGTCTGTACAGCTGGTGGATGCGCACCGCAACCCGGTGCTGCAGCAGCACACACTACACATCAGCAGCATAAAGGAGACAAAGGAGACAGAAGAAGAGACAGATAAAAATATAAATAATATTGTACAAATGCTAGAAACTGCTACAAATACAGCAGAGACACAAACAGACTCAGGCGTCGCTGTCTTCGCTGACCTCTCCTTACCCCCCTCAAAGGATCCCCTCTACCTCAAGGTGCTCTTGCTGCTGCTGCTGCTGCTGTTGCTGCTGCTGCTGCTGCTGTTGCTGCTGCTGCTGCTGCTCATGCTGCAGTAGCTGCTCTTCCAGTAGCTGCTTTTGCTGCTGTTGCTGCTCTTGCTGCAGTTGCTGCTGCTGCTGCTGTTGTTGCTGCTGCTGCTCATGCTGCAGTAGCTGCTGTTCCATTAGCTGTTCTTGCTGCAGTTTCTGCTGCTGCTGTTGTTGCTGCTGCTGCTGTAGTATCTGCTCTTTCTGCAGTAGCTGCTGCTGCTGCTGCT